CCCTCACTGTCTCTAAACACAGCCTTCCCTCCCAATCAGTAAAATGAAATTTCAGTCATGACCCACTACATTAATTTGAAAGGCCGGAATTTTAACAGTATTACTGAGTTAGATCTTAAAATCTCCAGGCTCTCAGCCACTTTCCTCTCCCCCTTCAGCTTACTGCCATTATCAGCCCATCTTGTGTCTTAGATCATGTTAGCTTGTGATTGAAATTCCTCATTCAAATTATAATCATGTTCCAGCAATGCTCTCTCTCTTACACATTTTGCAAGGAATAGCATCTTCAACTCATTTTCCTTTAATTTCCCTATCTCAGCCAGCCCAGACATGCCCAGAAATTCATGGTGATATCTGGATGGACAGTATCTCTACTAGGATGCACTTGTAATGTGCAACTCAATAAGCATTTAGGGAGTGTCCCAGCGTGCCTAGACGAAATAAATATAAACATAATGCATAGGGAGCATCACAGTGCAGATGGCCACTTCTGTGCCATTAGCTGGAAATTATTCGGCAGACATCCATCATGTTAAACAATAAGATACTTCTTCATTACCACCTCATTACTCAACTGACTAGAATTCCATAATTTTGGATTTCTTTGAAGTGTGGTTGCAAAGCCCCATCAATTAATAATAAACCTATAGAAAAAAGACTCTTCACAGTGGATGGCCAGAGTAGTATGAGCATATTACTGACCACAATAGGAGGGAGCTCAGACCAATATAGAACAATGTAAGCACACCCATTTGCCTTCAGGGAGATAACACTTGCATGGGACAGGTGTAAGGTAGAACCTAATTATGCAGACTATTTGAGGATCAAATAAAAGAAAATTTGGGGAAAGTTATTAATGTCATTTACAGAAGTACCCATGTTGGCTTAGTCAGCACTTAATGCAAAGTTAAAAATATTAGATTGATTCTTCATCAAGGGGAGATTTATAACTTAAGTAAGCAACCCCAGATTTCCTGCTACAGAGAAAAGTCGGGGAATTTCCTTTTCTAGAAAGAAGAGTCTGACACAGAGGGTTCCAAGTGCTAAAATGTCATTGAGAAATATGGAGAGACTTGGGCACTGGTCTTCTGTCCTCAGTCTTGTCCTTTTAGCAAGAATTTGGATAAAGCCACATAAGGTACATTTATCCAATAATGCTCAGAGATGTAGTTGATATACTGGACAAATACTTTATATTCAAAACATGCTGGAATATTGGTGTGTAATCCAATAAGAAAAATCTAATAGATACAAAGTAGTCCAACACTCAGCTCACTAAATCACCTGCCCAACTAAGGATGGTCCATAAAAACAGGTTAGAGATTTTATGAGCAACAGTGTATACCCTTTCTGGACATGGGGGACCATCTCAGTGAGACTAGGCAGAGCAGCCCTAGAATGAGAAGCTGAATTTGCATTAATTAGATCATATCTCCAGTATTACATACCCTTCTGGATGCCCCATTTTATACAGATCATCACATACTGGAGTCAATCCAGAAGAAGGCAACTGGAATACGGAAGGCTCTGACAACACATTCACATAAGGAACAACTAGCAAAACTGAGGACCTCCAACCTGAACAGAAAAGATTAAAGACATCTGTCTTCACATATATAAAGCCTTACAGATTATACTGGCCAAAGGTGGTACGGTTTGAAGATTAAAATGAATATCTGACAGTAATGCATTTAACCCATTAAATAATAAAAAATTAACTCATGAGCATGGGGTAAACACAAATATCTAAGTCTTAGATACTAATGGATAGCAAATGAGAAGAGGAATAAGGCTATTCTGTTTACAGACAGGTAAACTGAAGCTACATCTCTTTAGGCCTAATATGGAAAAGATTCTGCTGACAATTAATTAGGATGAACCCAGAGGACAGGATTCCACTCAAGAACTTTCGATGGTCCTCAGTCTGCTAAATAGTTGGGTACTGTTATTCATAGTATCTAAGCTTTTGTTTCTACTATAATAAGGGTGGGAAATGAACATTTACTGAATGTCTAACAGATGCCAAGTAAATATATTTAAGTTAATCTTCCCAGTGCCTGAGTGAAATGGGCATTATCTTTGTTTTGCAGGTAGGGAAATTAAGGCACAGTAATTCATGCAAAAAGACACAGAGAGTTAAGTGCCAGAGCTGGGATTTGAACCCAGGTGTGTCCAGACTCCTTCCTCCCCACCATAACACACATAATACACGTAGGGTGATTAGAAGGGTGACCTAAGGCTCCACAGCCACTCAAATTGGCCTGTCATGGCCATTTTAATGGTTATGCTTTCCTCATCTGCCCAGCCCAGTAGTACCACTATTCTAATTCTTCTGGATTAGAAGAGGAAGTGTGGGGCCTTTCCCAGAAACCCACTGTTAAAGGACCCCGACCCCTGCGAGGTGTGTCTGCCCGTTCCCTATCCATAGCCACCTGAGTTTGCCCTTCTACTGAATATGGTTCAGTTTACCTGAATCAATCCACTTTGTCATCTTACTCTACTTCCTGTTCTGTTTATCAGAGCACTTGGAAACCAGTGGAGACCAGTTTCCTGGTCTTCTGGTCTAGTTAGGGGAGAATTGAAAGATAGCAATGAATGGTTCCTCTGATGAAGGGGCGTGCAGGTCAAGGACACGTGGCTGCTTTGCTATCACTCTTCTGTGTTAGAGAAGTAAGAACATGCTAAATTACAGCGCATGGTCATCGACAAGCACTCTGCTTCACTCTGAAAGTGTGACTTTCTAAACAGCTTTCCAGGGTTTGTGTATGGAACACAGAATCTCTCGTCATCTCCCAACCCACTGCCCACGTTTCCCAAGGTTTGAGAAGGTGCTTTGGGGTAATGTTCCTAACAGACCAGGTTCCCCAGCTGACTAAAGCTTTCTGCTTGTAGGTAAAGAAATTTCTGGGCTTCTTCAGCATATTTAAAAATATAATGTTTGTATGTTTTGTGGCTTTTCAGACCACCAGTTTAAGCTGCCTTTTAATGCTGGAGTTCCCTGAGATCAGGGACTATGTCCCTTCTGTCAATCACTCCTGTACTTCCAGATCGCCTGTGTGTGCCCTGTGCCAGGGCGACAGCAGTGAAACACACAGACATAAATGATGCTCTCATCGGGCTTAACGGCCTGGCTGTAGAGACATACATGACACAAAGATTGCACAAATAAGGATTCACACTCAACAGATAGTCCACATTTCTCTACAGTATCCAGCACAGAGCTCAGCATGTGGCAGGTGCTTTTCCATGAGTACGTGACGGATGGTTTTGTGGAGTGTGTGGAAAGATTGAACAGCTGAGATGATCTGAGCACGGGGAGTTCGATACTGTGACTTTTGGAGTGAGGGGGGAAAACCGTGAATTGGGAAGATCTGGGTTCTAGTTTCTGCTTTTCCACTAACTAGTAGAAGTTTCCTGGGCAAGTCACTGTTTTTCTGGGCCTCAGTTTCCTGACTTAATAGGATAGTGTAGGCACCAGAACTCGCCATAAACAACAAAATGCTGCAGTCAGAGATATTCTCCTTCAGCCTCACTTACCTTGCCAGAAGACAAGGCATGGCTGCAGCCGGCGGCTTCCTAGGACAAAGAGCTCTACCAAGGGGTCTGGGCAGGTCTGGGCTGCGGGGAGGACAGAGCAGCAGCGGGAAGGGGTGGGTTTCCTGGACCGTGAAACTGACAGGCTATGTCTGACAGGAGAAACACTGCACTGCACTCACCACCCGCTGACTGTTTAAGAAGAAACACTTTCATTCATAGGATATTCTAGGCTGTATTTCTAAACAACGCATCAGAGGAGAAAGGAAAGTACAGAAATAGTTTTCTTTGTATGTTTTTACAAGTGGTTAAAAAACGATTTTCCATTCACTCTGATAGTCAAAATGGCTCAGTAACTTGGGGGCAGGATGTCAGACAGGAGACTGTGAACATCCCTCAACACTACCACAGGGAGTGGTGCAGCACCACGATCTTAGGAGGATTGGGGGCATGGTCTTTTTCCCCAGTGAGAAAAAAATTAGGAAAAATCCTAATGAATGCAGATCATCTTTAAAAAACACCCATAACTCAGAGCCCTAAAAGGAAGCAGGGACACAGCCCGCCACCTGAGGCTGGAGGACTAACCCAAAATACTAGGTCTAGATAAACTAGGGCCAGCCAATCTTTGCAAATCCATACCTTCTTCAGTAAAATCACTAATATGCAGCAAAATATCACCTCATACTCCTCTGACCCAGAGGTAAGCAAAGGAGAGTGCGGTCAGAGACAAAACCCTGCATGTCCCTGCTGCAAATTCAGACAGTTGAATTCTTCCTCTTGCTTCAGCAAACGCAGAGTCTTGGCTACAGTCTCCTTTCTTCCGGTTCCCACGAGAGCTACTAACTTTTGTTTATTTGCTCCAAAATGTAAGAAAGGAAGTGACCAGGCTTTCTCCCAAGACTACGACATCCCTACATGGTGCTTCACACACCACCTCCTGGTCCTCTGCCTCTCAGGAACTGAGCCCCAATATCTGACCAGGGGAAGGAATCATCATTCCCACGGGAGCCCCTCTGGATAGGAGGCTCCCACCAACCAGCAGCTCTGTGGCCATTTCCCAAATCATTGGTCTTGGTCTAACTTTGAGATGAGTCCGTTCAAATCATCCTAAATATGAGCCAGTCACAGCCACTAAGGTCTCAGAAAACTAGCCCAGCCTCAGCTCCCTGAGTTCCAGCCTCTCAGAAGGCAGAGCAGCCCGAGCAGCCCAGGTGGGGCACCTCAGCAGGAGAGGAGATTTAGAGACTCCTGCTTGTTACCCTCGCCACTTCTGCTGAACTCTCACAACATGAGAGTCTCCCCTCAGACAAGATCTCCCCGTGTGACACACCCACTTCAGCCCTACAAAGAGACAACTAGCTTCTGAGGTCAGGCTCCATAATGGGAGAAATTTGTAGGGGGGTTACTCTTCAGGGGTAATTAAGCCAACAAATCTTAGAGGAAGGAAGGTTGGGGCACTGTCCTACCTTGTCACTGTCCACTGTGTTCTGAGAGGTCCTCGAGGCGATGGAGATGGTATCCGGCTGGCTGCTCCCATCCCCCTGGCTGTCAACATCCTCCACTCCATCCCTGCAGGAAGAAGAGGAAAAAAAAACAGGGGTGGGGGTAGGGGAGAACACTGTGGGTTTAGAGCACATGGGATTTCCAGCTGGGCTGGCGGAGCAGAGCCTCGGAAATTTCTAGCAGGGATTTGTCTAAAATTATCCCACTAAAGGAGCAGCCCTGTGTGATTTTCAATGACATAACCTCTTCTACTTAGTAAACACATAATCACTCTGTTGACAATGGAACACAAAATGAATCCATCTCCCAAACTCCTCTGGCCTGTGGTGTAGAAGAGGCATTTTTACCGGGAATAGGTCCATATTAGGCAGTAGGAAGAGGTATATCCTACTTAGATCTAGGCTTCTATCCATCAGACTGGGTCAGTTTTCCTGCATCCCATAACAGGATGGTGTTGGTTTATAGCTGACCTATAAAGAAGGCAGGACCAATATTTTTTTGACCTGTGTTTTGTCTGCTCTAGAAACTGGAGTGGGATATTTCCTCCAGGGAAGATTACCTTTGAGAAGTTCCTGATATTCGACCCTCAACTCCTGAGTATGGATGAGGAGTTCACTGCCTTTTATTCTGATGGGTGTTGTTGATCATGTACTTATTTGTGATGACTTCTTATAAACACAGAAGGCTAAAGCATCTTCTCAAAGATAGGAGAATAGTGACAGATTCCACAGCAGCTGTGTTCCTCAGTGTCTGATAACACAGTCTCCCAAGTGCACCCTGCCCTTTGGACCCCTTCCTAGTCTCCTGGACCATAAGGCTGTCCCACATGTCCCACATGCTCCCTTATCTCTCCAGCTTTAGAACTGTGTCCCAGTCCTTCACTGAACCCATAGCCAGGCCAAGGGGGATTAAATGCCTGGGAACTGGTGAAGGCTAAATGGTTTGTGTCAAACAAAAACTGGAGGAGATGTGGGTCAGAGGTTGGCTGAGTTAGCACAGGGAAGGACAGCTCTTTCCATGAGGTTTTTATGAAAGCCATACCCTGACGCTGCTTACGGAGAAGTTAGGGCATTAGGGAGAAGGGAACTCGCTGTCTGAGAACATTACCACACAGGCATAACACCCACATACTGAAGCTGCCTCACAGAGTCTAAACAATGACAATTGTGAGTGTGTGTGGGGCATGTGTGTGCATGTGGGCACTCATGTGCTGCACATGTATATACACAGTGTCTACTAGTCATAAAGGTGTTTTCTTCCACCCAGAATATTTCTAAGCCAAATGCTGTTTTACCCCTCCCCCCTGCCGCTGTGGGCTTGGAAAATGCCAACTTATTTTAATAACATAAGCCACATATTTGTAGAAAGGAAAATCTGCTGTAAAAAATGATGTGATGCATTTCAAAACCAAAAATACAGGGCTTTCAGATCATCTGTTGTTGTAGATATCTGGGCCACTGCTCCCCTGCTTGCAGATAATTGGCTGTACTTTCTGCTTCCCATGGCTCTGGCCCACTGCAGGCCCTTCTGGGCCCTCCAGATGAACCAGTGCTGGGGGAGGTAGGGAGTCCATTCAGGAGTGCGGGTAGTATTTCCCAAGCCAATTCAGTGTTCTATAAACTCTGTCCTCATATCCAAGAGGCCAAGTTAATGAAATTACAGACTGCCTGGCTATTCTCTGCAGAGTATGCCGAGGTTTCTCACTGTCTCATCACAGAACAATGACAGAGAAAAGGTGGGAGGCATTTCCAAGATATGCCCACTCCATGTTCTAGAGATGCTCTCCTACTCTAGGAGAAAGAGGCTCTTTTTCAAAGTAACCCTGGCTAACCCTACCTGAATATCCATTCCCACCATGGTCCTGGACATTCAGCTCTTTATGACTGTTTCCATTTTTGTCTCATTAATGTAGGTAGGGCCTTACTGCAACAGGGTCTGTCTCTAGTGTTTAATAAGTCTATCCCTTACCTGGACTCTGGACATAGGTAACTGAAATAAAAATAACCCTTTTCCCAATACAGCCATAATTTGTCCTCCTAGCACAGAGAGGTGACCACATCCTGGCCAGGCAGGTGTTGGGGCTTTCGCCCTGTGGAGGTATGTCTCTCCAGCTCAGTCACGCCCTCCCTGTGGTCACCATGTCCCTCGGGACCTGTGCTGCTGCTACCGAGTCGCTGCGGTGGTGCTCTAACCCGCATGTCCCAGTTGGCACCAAAGGGTCCAATAAATCTTCTAGATTTATTCCACTCATGAATAGGGGAGGAGAGGAGAGCCTGTTACCACCAATGGCCATCACCGTCAGATCTCTGCTTTTTGCTTTTCTTTTTCCCAAAAACTGACATGAAGATTTTGTATGCTTTATTTTGAAGAGAATGACTCCAAGAGTCATAGTAAGTGACTGTCACATGGAGACTTGAGAAAGAAATATTTAAGATTAAGAAGTCATCCATTGGTCTAAGGGAAGCTGGGATTCAGAATGGCCCAGAGAAATGAAGATACAAAAAATAAGCCCTGTTCTGCCCGATCCCATTGTGTTTCCGGGAGGACTCCGGGGGTGTGGCAGTAAGAGCTGCAGTGACTGCCCCATCAGACCAAACCCCATGCATGACAGTACACACAGCCCTTTCACTGTCCAACAAGCCCAGAGAGCTCCCCACTCAAGGCCCACCTTCTTCTTAAAGCCTTCCCCACTGTCCTACTGGCACTGGTTCCTTTATCTCCATTTCATGTGTGAAACATGACTTAGGTTGTTCTGGAGGGAATGGACTCATCTTACACTTCCTTTCCATCTTCTTGTAGCGCCTTGCAGAGTGTGTGTCAAATAAGAGGTGCTCAACAAGGCCCTGCTGAATTGAATGGGCAGCAACTAGTGAGATGCTTTTAAAGAGGAGATGACTCATCTTAGGTTGCACTCAGTGGGGCTTCATGGAGGGCGTTGCTGCCTGCAGAGCACACTACCCCCGTGGAAGCAAAGGTTCTCCCCTCTCCCGCTCCCAGAAGCATGTGAGGCAGTACTGGGAGGAGACGCTGGTTACCTCTTACTATTGTTCCTCAGTTTGGCTGGTGTTTTGGGGAGCTGAATTGGCTCCTTTAAAGCTCCTTTCAGGTGAATGATCCTTTCTTGAATCACCTCACGTATGTTCTTGATCCACTCCTGCTTGGTTTCTATGTTGGAGGCCTGGAGTGCCACAGGGAGGAAGAGTCAGGACCCCATCTCCCCTCATCCCACCAAAACAGTTCTCAACTCTCCTCTTGCAGGCTTCGCCCATTAATTTTAAGATATCAAATGTCTGAGGAGCTTATTTCTCATTTTATGTATTTAGGACTCTCCAATCCCAGGGTCACGCTTCTCTAACTCCTAGAGCAGAGCTATAACCTCAAATGCAGTGCAGACTTCCACAGGGGCGACTTCAAAGTATTTAATAACCTGTGAAGTACTGGCCAATACTGATCTCTGCCCTGGGGCTGGAGCAGTTTCTGGAGGTCTCCCAAGGTCAGGGATAAATGCTTCAGTTACTTGATTCTGCGGTGGTCTGGGGAGGAGCACTAGGAGGGGCAGCAAATGGGAATTTGAAGGTAGCAGCTAATAACCAACTGGTATGGAGAAAGTTCAGGGTGTTCACCCCTCACATGGCTGACTGGGTTTTTAGCTTTGTAAACCTGCTTATTAGAGGCATCACTCCCATTCCATGAATCTCATTTATCTTTGTGGAACTTTTTTCGGGTAAGTCTGTCTCACGACAGGTAGCAGCTATATTGGCAATTCAGTGATGGGCACTTCCCTAATGACTGTGGGTGCTGCATGGGCAGGAGTTCTCCTCAGTGAGATGAACATTACCACTAGCACTGACTCAGTCCCCAGGCTGTGCATGCTCTGCAGAGCTGAAAGGACTCCTTAAGGCCATCGCCTGGTGAAAGGCCCTTTCTTTACATCCATCTCAATCAGCATAGTTCCCATGCTGGTACAATTTACTAGAGCTTCTAGAATATAAATCCCCAAAGGATAGAGTCCATAACTTACACACAACTATCCTCCGCAGCACTGGGCAGAATACCTTATATGTACAAGGTGTTCAGAGGAAAAAAAGTTGAATATGGAGCAAATTGAGGTGCTTTTTGTCAAAGGGTCAACTGTTGTCTTTGACACTTGAAGGGGACATATGGACAGAACATCTCTGAGTGGGCCATGTCCTGACTTCTTCATTCTTTGCTCACACAAGGGCATGCACTTAGAAGACCACTCATCTTGGAGACGGTGAGTCCACTTTCATGACAGAATTTGCTTTTGAATACCCATGCGATGCTGCCCTTTCCAAAGCAGGCCCAGTGCTCTGTGGAGTCTCCTGGCCCCAGCTTTTAGGTGTAAGGTGCCCACACCCCTCTATCCCCAGCCCTGGTCTTGTGCCCAGCAGACGGCAGTACTTACTTTCAGCACGGTTTTATTGTCTGAGGATGGGGTGCGCCCAGACCACAAGGCAAATTTGCAGGGATCCCCCTCTACGTGCTCGGTCACACCCAGCTCTGAGGTCTGTAGACAGGAAATGCCTGTGAGAGGCGGGGAAGGGGAGGGCAGTGGGGAAACTTAGGGCTGGGGTGGGAAGGGAAAGGCAACAAAGAGGAGAGGACCGAGGAAGGGGCTTCTGTCAATCAAACAAATAGACTGGATATTTTGTTCATCTACCCAGGATGAAAGGACCTACAGGCTGGTGCCTGATTAGCAGGTAGCAGGGAGGGAAGGTGAAGAGGGCGGTGCTAAAAGCAAAGAGGAAGAACTGTGAACTCCAAAATGCAGAATTGGGAGTTGACAGGGGAGCTTTCCAAATAGAAGGCATTTTCATTTGTCCAGGATGGCTTTGGTGTGGTGCCAGGGGAGAGATGAGCTGAGTGTTCAAGATCCCTTCCTGCCCAAGGGCTCCATGAAAACAGGGAGTCTTGTCCTACCCCACCTGTCCAACCTACCAGTAGCTTGTTCTTGTAAACATATTTTGTGTGTCCTGAAGAGTCTTTGATCTCCTTGCTAAAAACCAAGGAGATCTCAAAGAGGAACAGGTGCCGCTCCCGTCCCTTCCGGATCAGTGACTTCGGGTCCCACACTTGAAAGGCATCCTGGAGAATCAGCTCCCCCTGCACGTCCAGGTTCTCATCGAACCCTGAAAAACACACGTTCCATCCTGTGGAGTTTCTCTGGGGCCACAGTCGGGGTGCCATGTTCCACTCCCCTCTCAGAGAAAGGCTTCCCTAACCGTGCGTCCTCAGCTCCCATACTGTGTTCTCTCTCAGCTGGCTCCTGAGACTCCTGAGCACTTGAGCAGACAGTTCTTCGGAGCTGAAATCAGATCCCCCTACCCACACCGGCTCTCCCACCCATAACTGGTACTGGTGGACTCTCCCGCAAAGGTCCGGGCAGCCTCCCCACAGCTCCACTGTCAGTCTGGGACCTCCTGCAAGGGTGAACCCCACAGCCCCCCAGCACCCCTGACTCAGAGCTCAGCGTGGGACTAAGGACAAACAGTGAGGGACTGAATGCTCTTGATCCCACTTTATTTGTAGTGTCTCTATTTCTCATATTCCATTTCTAGGACAATTTCCTTTGATTGTTCTTATATTGTGTGATGTATATACCTTTAAGAGTTTATATTTATACCACTTTAAATGTTTAACGGAGGTTCTGAAACTTTACTGTGCATACGAATCACCCAGAGGTCTTGTGAAATCACAGATTGTTCACCTCCCAAGAGGGCAGGATTCAGAGTAGGTGTGGGTGGAGCCCATGAATTTGCACATCTGACAAGCTCATTAGTGTTATGCTGCTGGTGCACAGACCATACCCAGAGTAGCCAGATCCCGAATACAGGTCAGGGTAAGGCCAGAGGAGAAGGGTACACCCAGGGATGGGAGTAGGTGCAAACATAACAGAAAGGGGTGGAGAAATTGTGACAAAGGAATACATTCAGATGGTTAGTGCTTAGTCTGGAGAAGGTAACCAGAGCTCCTTTGTGTGTGTAGGTAGAATCAGGGCTTGCTTGTTAAAGGTGACCTAGTAGTATTGAGACCAGATTAGGTTTTGTAGATGGGAGGTGGAGTGATGGGGGAGAAAGAGCATCAGCTGTTATATGAAAAGTAACAGTTCACAGGTTTACATATTTACAACAAAGTATACTTATCGCCTGCAAGGCCTGTTTGCCAGGCCTGACTGGGATGAGTAAATTCATCGAGAACTTCTACCCCAATATGGCTGCTCTGCTCATCTCCTTTTGCAGTGCTAAAAACACTTGATCGGAGTCTCACTCTACCAGGTTTCTGGGTCCCACAACAGGACATGGTTCCAGTGGACTGAATGTACTTTGGTAAAGTCCTATCAGGTTTACCTGGTTGGACTTATCTCACCTTCTAGGAATGGCATAAGGGTAGCTGCACACCAGTGTGAATGTACTTAATGCCACTGAACTGTACACTTAAAAATGGTTCTGATGGGAAACTTCAGGTTATGTATACTTTACTGCAATAAAAAAAGAAGGGAACAAGGCTGAAGATGTGTTCTCACACATGTAGGATTTTTACTTATTCTGCTGACAAATGCAATGCAAGTGTTTTGCTGACGAACAGGACTGCTGTGGGCCAGGGCTGTAGCACACTCATAGTAAAGATGATGGCCTTTCCTAGACTACCTCACAGGCAGCAAGGTGTCCACATACTGAGATGGGTTAGGCCGAGTCATACCTGGAGGCGGTGTTAGCTGAGCCAGACCTTGTGCAGCTCCTCTCATACCGCCCAAGGCCTATGGAACACCTTGCCATTTCTCCTCTCTTCCAGCCTTGCCCCTTGCCTGACTTTATGCTACGTCCCTCCCATGATACAAGCTCTCTGGTCTTAAGAAAGGAGGAGGCTCCCCGAGGAGGCTGAGAGGACAGCTACCTTCCAGCATGCTGACATGCATGGCATCATTGGCTTTCTTTGGGACACTGAGCATCACCTCCAGGCCATCCTTGAGCTCCCCCTTCCCCTCTTCACAGCAAGTTAAAAGTTCCTGGGAAAAAAGTCCAAACACAATTAGAATCATTTCCCCCAGCTTCCCGACCCTCCCACCACCAAACCATCAAGGCAATTACACACCAGCTTCATTCTCTGTAATGGTTCCCTCTAAGCTACAAGAAAGTGGGGTGGCGTGGGATGGGATTATCTCCAAAGAAGTCAGCCACAATTTTTTTTTTTACGAACTGAGCTTCCTCAGCTCAGCTCATGCAAACTAACTCAATTCAATCCAACTTCCAAATGGCTGACACTGTAAGTCAGCAACTAGGGTGTTCTCTGTCACTTGACTGCCTCCTAGAGAAGGGGATACCCCTGAGAAACACATGAACAGAGGTGCAGTACTATGAAATCGTAAAGAGAAGACAAGTGTGTGCCAGGAATGCTCAGAATTCATTTAGCACCGCAGGACTAGCACCACTTTTATTTACACACCTCTACTGCTTGAATGCTGGCTTCCCCTACACTGGCGGCAATCTGGGGTTACAGACATTCTAAGTTTATAGCATGTTGGACTTAACAAAAGATTTTTAGATCATATGGATCAGGAGTTCCTAACCTGGGGCCAGCAGATGGGATCCTGGACTAGTCTTTCATTGTCAGATGAGGAAACCGTTATTAAGAGGGACAGAGGTTTTCCCCAGGTTACAGAATTCACTGGAGGTAATGCAAGGGCTTAAGTCCAGGTCTCTCAAATGCAAGTCCAGTGATCCACCCACCACGCCAACCCTGGCTCCTCCATGTCCTCCACCATACCGAGACTTCTGGAGCATGCACTCTCTTTTACTCTCTCATTGGAAACTAGGTCTTTACCATCTTCACAAAAGATGTATAGTATCTGGTTGGTGGAGAAAAGATAATTTCCAACTACCTGAGGAATCATAAAGACCATTTAGATGATTTTGGCCATATCAGAAAAATGCTGTCCTTCATTTTTCTTATCAGGGTTATTGTATCTTGATCACTTTGACACCGGGAAGGAAACTGGCCTGCAATCCATACTCTCTCCTTGGGGGGTTTGTTTAGGGGAAAAGGGAGGCAGGGAATGGGTGGATGTGTGGGGACGTACTTCCAGGAAAGAAAGAATTTGACCAGATCAAACCTTGTAAACAAGTTAATGACAGACCTAGCAAATAAACTAATGACACTTGCTATGGAATGCTTTTGGTGGAATATATCTGGCCTATCTATCCATGACTTCTTATGGTAAACATACCTAGAATCGGGGGCTTTTTGGGCATGGCTCCTTGGAATGTATCACATAAACTATGCAACTAAGAAAAAAGTGACTGCATGACCAAAATGGCTCTCTTCAGGGTAGGTGATAGGATGCAACAAGTATTTTAGAAATCTTGTATGTTAACCAGGCCCACGGCCTATCCTGATGCTGCAAGAAAGGACTTGAAGCTGTTGGCAGTCCTGGACTTCTCTCCATTTTACCTTTGCCTTAAGATCATTTGCATCCTTGAAATTACAGCTGTGCACCATTTAACAATGGGGATACATTCTGAGAAATGTGTCAGTAGTTGCTTTTGCCATTGTGCGAGCATCACAGAATGCACTTACAGAAACCTAGATGGAATAGCCTACTACATACCTAGGCTATATGGTATAGACTACTGCTCCTTGGCTACAAGCTTGTACAGCATGTTACTATATAAACAATACGAGATTAAATCAAGTGCAAGAGAAAATGCAGCAATCAAGAGATGAGGTAAACACGAAGTATATGAGGCTGCTGCCACGGTAATGCAGCATACTGTTCTATAGCAAACGTTTCTTAATAAGTAGAAAGAGTACACTCTAAAATAGAAGAAGAGTAGTAAATATATAAACCAGTAGTAATCATTTTTATCATTATCAGGTATTATGTACTGCACATACTTATGTGTGCTTTCCTTTTTATATAGCACAGTAGGTTTGTCCACATCAGCATCACTACAACATGGGAGTGATACATTATGCTACAACATTATGATGGCTATGGCATCACTAGGCAATAGGAACTTTTTCAGCTCCATTATAATCTTATGGGATCATGGTCATATTGTGGTATATAGTTGGCCGAAATGTCATTAGGCCATACATGACTAGCAAAGCTTTATACTTGGTAGGATATCTGATTAGTGAGAATCTGGTATGAGAATCCAACCCTTTGTATTATCTTGGATATGTTCCACATGAAGAAGGGAGCTTTGCATGTCCATGAAACACGTGAACTGCCCAGAGCATGTTTGTGAGGTAGAAGTGTTCAGCTCCCAGCTCTGTCCTTGGTACCAGTCAGTATAATCTCAATCGTTGTTAAGGCTGCATTTCCTTCTGCCAACCTGAACTCTGATTTTCCTCACTGCTTTCCTAATTCTAACCCTCTCGGCCCTTGTTTTCATACATCATCAAAAGAACTTCTAGGCAGAAACATAAGAGAGAAATTAGAAATATGCTTCAGTTTACAACAGAAAATGCCAATTAGTTTAACCCCAAAGCAATCTGGCAAGTCTGCTAATCAACCAGCAAAGCCAATAAGCTCCATTTGGATTCTGGCTATAGTTTACAATAAAGAGAAGGCCCCACATTTAATATACACTGCAAAAGGAAGTTTTTGCTGTCATATAACACCTAGAGTGAGGAACCCCAGAGAATACTGGTAATTAAATATCAATTTATTTGGAATAAAATGGACTTCAATGAGAAAATGAATTCCATAGTATTTATTTGTAGTTAAAGCTCAGCAAGCTATTTTTCTTTTACTCAGCAGGCACTCTGCCACCAGCACATTTAAAAGAGGCCAAAATTACCTTAAGTGTTTTTTCCCAATAATTCTACCATTTCTTCACAACCAAATTCCCACTACTTTATTTTTTGCTCTCAGTCATATCTCCCTAAAACACTCAACACAGGATGAAAGCCCAGGGCCCACCTCTCCATCTGCCTAAAGCAAAACAGAGGACAGCCTATCCTTTCTCCACTTTCCTCCCTTGTCTGCATCACAAAATTAATCCTCAGAACCTCAGCCTTATGGGTGTTAAAGGGAGAGGTGAAAAGCTGTCTTTCCCTTAGAACTGCATCTTATTGAATATAAGGCACTATCAGTGTAGATGGGTGAGCTGGCTCCTACCCCCACCCCCCAATTCCTGAGAAGGCTTGGGGATACTTTAAAAAAACACAAAAGTAAATTTAAAAAATTGTTTGGCATAAGGAAAATCATTTAGAAGGGTCAAACATTATGTGGAATAGTGAATGGGGAGGATGATTAGGCTGCACAGATCTGGGCTAAGGAGAAACTACTGTAAGTAACCGGACTCAATGCTAACTATCTAACAGTCAAAGGTAAAGAAAGACCTGAAGCTCCTGTGATTTAAAGGTAGAAAGCATATACCCATTTTTCAGGAGACACATTTTCCCCCGCTCCCAATGCCCCACATGGAGCTCTTGTGAGAAATTCTGAGTCTTTATGTGAGAAACCCCGTAACAAAGAGGACATCTCCAAAAGTGGTTCTGCCAGAACAGCCAAGGTGTCCTGCACTTCGTTATTGCTCACACTAGTCCTCAGTAAAGGCCACAGGCATGACGCCATGTTGTAATTCTCTATGTCCTTCTGCAGATGGATGACTTGAGTGCCTGGGAGCAAGAGCCCATGGTCTCTTCTTGGAGACAGGAAGGAGGTTTGAGGAAGGAGGCTGAAGGGGAAGGATGGGACAGGGCCCTGCCCTGACCTGGAGGGGTAAGAGAGGTTCAGGGCACAGGCTCACTGCTGCCCACTCTGTGCTCATCCCAGAATCATGAGTGCTAAGCCAGGGACCCCATGGACCTAACGACAGGCACACTCTCTAACATGACTGGAAACCTAGGTATGAAACTAGACTGGTTTTCAGATTTTGTGAAGCTAGAATATGAGATTCTGCAAGTGCCAACCTGCAAACCACAGGGTCATCAGTTTGATTCCCAGTCAGGGCACATGTCTGGGTTGCGGGCCAGGTCCCCAGCAGGGGGTGCGTGAGAAGTAACCACACATTGATGTTTCTCTCCCTCTCTTTCTCCCTCCTTCCCCTCTCTCTAAAGATAAATAAATAAAATCTTTAAAAAAAGAATTAAGATAGACAGGGGTTATATAATTGTCTATAATATCAATTTCCTGGGCTTTCTGTGGGGAAATGTCATATTTTCAGACTGTCAGTATATTCTCCTCTGAGAAGAATCAGCCCAAATCACTTAGTATTTTAGATAATTTTATTATTTAACTTCAAAAGAGAAGATTTTAGAAAAATCCAAATCTCTTGGTTGGCTCCAGAATCTCTAAAATATGAGATCCTACAGACATAAGAGTGTCATTGTGTTTTAATACGCAATCTTCAACTATTTCCTCTAAAAAACCTCATAGCCTTGACAAACACAGAGATTAAGACAATGGCAAGTACTGCCTTGGACTCCAGTGCCCATGCAGGCTGGCACTGCCCATAAGGCCTTGACCTTTGATCCTATCAGAAGCGGTGGCCACCAGGGGGGATCTTCTCTAGGAGGAAAGGACAGGAGAGGCTTTACGTACCAGCCAGTGCCTGGGGTGGCAATCACTAAAAGTTGTACAGAGGTGGGTGGGTGTGAAAGTCGTTATAACCTGTTCCTGCTCCCAATGAATGAGACCTGGAATATCACAGGATAGGACATGCAGTCTGAGCCAGCAATGCCAGAAACGGGCTCATCTCTGAAGTTATGCTCTAGGTAGAGGAAAGGTCTTCAGGTGGAAGCTTTTCCATCCTCAGACAAAACTGGGACTCCCTGGGCCTGGGCACTCGTGTGGTAGGGGGTGACACAGAGGGGAGGGGAGGTACCTTCAGGAGCAGCTGGTACTTGGTGATCCTCTGGACGGGCTTAATTAGGTAGGAAGAGATGGAGTTGGCCAGACCATGCCGCTGCTGTATCTCCTACAGGATGAAAACGGTACCATTAGACACGGAGGAGCATGCATATGTGTGTTCTGGGAGAAGGCAGGTGGGGTAAGAAGAGAGGACAAAAGAGAAAAGGGTAGATGATCATGAGAAACTATTCTTTGATGGGGAGAGGGAAGCAGAGACATATGAAAGACTAAGGTGCATGTGTAAATAATCAATAGAAAGAAAATGGAGAGATGGCGAAAAGGGAGGAGCTTTAGGGAAACAAAGCAGATTTGTGAAACAAATGGAAATTAAGAAGAAATAGAGAAAGACAAAGGTGGAAAAAGAAAGTGATAAGATATATATTGGACAGGAGGGTAAAGGAGAGGTGAAGAAGAAGTGAAAGGAAATAAACCCAGAATGGAGGAAATGAAAGGGGGATAAAAGGGAAGATGAGAATAAAGGGAAGGCAGAGAGTAAGGCTCTGATTTCTATTGATGGCTACTGTGTATTTATCCACCTGTGGTCTCCTTCTTAAAACTGCACAAGGATACATCTCATTTCCCATTCCTCCTCTCTTTAAATTTAATGCATCTTGACTTAGAATCACCACTTCCTCCTTACAGCAGTTTTATTGAGATCAACGGTACTTCCTTCATTCTTCAGGTCTGTCGAGTTGGAAACCATGCAGTCATTTTCAGTTATTTTCCTTCTGTTACCCCCGACAACTGGGGAAGACAAGTCTTTCCTGCCCATTTTCACCCACACTGCCCATGTCATTCATGCCCAGGCCATGACTGTGGCCTCCAACTGCTCTTTGTGCCTCTAGTCTCTCATTTTAGACCACTCTCTAACCTACCTCCAAAATGATCTTCCATCCCCAAAGGTCTAGGTGTAATGACAGTTAGGGGACGGTACATTTTAGTCTCTTCCCTCAAGAACCTTACATTCTAGCTAGCTGATAATACTCACACACATGAAATAGACAGCAATGAAAGATAACAGTAAGCATTCTCATAGGTTATAGCCAGGGAGACCAGAGCAGAGTTACCAGCCCCATGAATGGTTTTATAGACATGAAACCTTCGGCTGGGGCTTAGAGGGTTGTTTGGGGTGGTGAAGTGGGAAGCTGGAAGGATGGTTCCCTATAAAGGGCAAACATGTAGAGCAAAAATGCACAGGAAATAATCATTATATATTTAGATGATAATGAGGACCATGCCTGAGAGGTACAGAGGATGCACACCTACATTCTAGAAAAAGTAAAAAATACAGTTAGATAAGCAAGACGCTTTCAGGTGATTGCTAAAGTTGAGCTAGAATGAAGAATTAGGGTTTGTTGGTGAATTTCTCAATGTAAAGGATTGTAGCTACTGAATGGAAGGAAAACTTGAAAGCAATGTTTCAGGAAGAGTAATTTAAGTCTAATGGCAACAGAGGGGGTTGGAAAATAGAGGCAAGCAGACTGATTAGGAGATCATGGCAAAAGGCTAAGTGTAGACATAGAGTTACCACAGGATCCACCAATTCCACTCCTAGGAAAACAGGGTGGGGCAAAAGTAGGTTTAAAGTTATGAGTACTTGAAATGGTTTATTCTTGTGTTATTATGTATTAATTATTGTATTATTTCCCATACAAATAACTAAACCTACTTTTGCCCCACCTGTATATCCAAGAGAAATGAAAACGTATGTCTACACAAAAACTTGTACACAATGTTTATTGTAGTATTATTAATATTAATAATAATATGGAGAAGGTTGACACAACTCAAACGTCCATCAACTGATGAATAGAAAAACAGAATGTGATATATCTGTACAGTAAAGACTATTTGGTCATAAAAAGAAATGAAGTACCGAGTCATGCTACAACACAGATGAACCTGGAACGTCATGCTATGTGAAAAATCAAGTCAGTCACAACAGAACACACATTACATGATTCTGCTTTTATGAAATGTCCAGACCAGGCAAATTTACACAAAAGAACAGAGATCATTGGTTGCTTAAGGCTGGGGAATGGCAGGGGAGGATAAGGTTGGGGGTGGTAGCTAAAGAGGGCAGGGTTGCTTTATGAGATGATAAAAACATTCTAACATTAACATTGTGGGTAGTTGCACAGGTCTGTGAACACACACACACACAGGTGTTTAACAGGCAGGCCTAAGCTAAGCTAGTGAAAACAAAGCATTAGGAGAAATAAAAAGAAATATTTAAAGTTAGACAAGTTAGGACTTGCTGTGTGGCCATGGAAAAGGGTAAAGAAGAGGGAATATTAATAAAAAATTACTCCATTTCCTGCCAATCATCCCAGAAATGAGCAATTTTCTCACTCACTTGCCTCTTCCCTAGAGGTGTGTAGTTGTGGCAGGACTCGTTCAAGGATGATGGGCAAGACAGCTGGCAGCTTGGCTCTCTTCGCCAGAGTCAACACTGTGAGTTTGTTTGGGGGCTTGGGCAGGGCAGCACATGCAATAATGTACCTGTGACAGTCCTCCCCTCTGACAAGACGCTGGGTTGGGGGAGGCGGCCTGTGGGGCAGCGAGGAAGGGGGCTGCCTCCAGCGGCCAGGCTGGCAAACCACGCTTAGTAATCAACACAGCATCAGGCACCACTGCCTCACAGTGTTCATATCTGGAGTAGAAAAGTCTGGATCATGTGAATGTGTAAGACTTTCCAGGTCTTCAATTTTCTGTGTTCTCTTTACAAGAATGGGAGATAAGGGGCTGCCTTTATTAAGGGCTTATCTCTTTTATAGAATGAAGGCCTAAAGCAGAGAGTTCCTAAGTGCAGAATTTAGGGAAATCCTTCTGATGGGTTGGAAAAAAGTTGCAAAAATTATGCTTTCTGGAAAGCTTTGGGAACAATCAGGAGAGTTAACTGCTCCCTCTCCCCACCTCCAGGATAAGCCTGGGAACTCCTTCCATTGGCCTTCCCAACTAATGCAAAGGCTAATCAGGCACTGCTTTGGAAATGGAGGGCAGGGTGTAAAATTTGGAGTCTATCTGACTTCTCAGTCAAAGTCCAGAAATTGGCTAGAAACAGGAATATGAGGAATGTGGGACTAAAGGAAAACACGGTTTAACAGCAGATACTGTGGCATATATAAAATGAACCAGGCAAACCATTAGCTAACCTCAAGTGGCCCCCCTCAAGGGGGGCGGTGTGAGTAATGGAAAGGTACAATGTTAACCTGCCAAAAGGTGAATCATTACAAATACCAAGAGTAAGGCTAAGAGTAATAATGTGTGCATAGAGAAAGGGAAGGATGGACTCAGAAACCAACATTGGACCTTTAAAGTACAGGAAGAATTCTGAAGAGTGACTTTGTACGTGTTTGAGTGTGTGCATGTGTGACAAAGGGGGTTGCAATCCATTTTAGGCAGAGAGAGCAGGGTGAGCAAAGATTAGTAAGCAGGATGGTCTAAGGCAGTGGTCCTAACCCCCAGGCCATGGACAGGTACTGATCAGCACCTGTTAGGAATGGAGGGGCCACACAGCAGGGGGTGAACATGAATATACTGTGCTTGAATCATCCCCAAACCACCCCCACTCCTTACCCCCCAGTCCATGGAAAAACTGTCTTCCATGAAACCAGTCCCTGGTGCCAAAAAGGTTGGGGACCACTGATCTGAGGCTTGCTCAGAGCAAAGGGCATGTATGTTCAAAACAATACAAAGTCGAAGACAGAACAAAGTGCATTTAAAATTTCAAAAAGACCCTTCTGAATACTGTTGATGAATAGTCATCCAGAAACATCTTAAGGGAAATACATTATTAAGCAAAGATAATGGCACAAAACATTCTATAAACTCTGATAACAAGTTAAGGTAGCCCTTTACTTGGGTTTTCTGTTTTACCAAATTTAACCTCAGAAATTCCAGTTTGGGATCTTATAACCATTTTCACATTAATGCTCTATTAACAAATCATATGCTTTTTCTTGCCTGGTTTTCTCCCATTCAAGTGTGATCACTTCACTGAGCAATAGGATCCTCAGGGAATTATTTCTGTTATGTCAGTGTCAGGCTAGAAAGAGGCTCAGAAGGTTCATTTTGTAAACTTGAGTATGGGGACTGTAATTAAATGTCCGTATCCCCAGAGGGCCCAGCACACTGTCTTGCGTCTAGTAGACATTCAAAATATTCGAAGGAATGGGAGCAGGTAGGCAGAAAGACAGACTGACAGACATGCTGACCTTCAAGCTGTTCTCACTTTGGATGTGTCTACCAGAACGGGTGGGCATCACTGTTACAGTCTCTCTCTCACTGAACTTCCTTCCTGCCCCCCTCATTTCTTCTCTCCCTCTTTTCTTCCCTGGGATCCTGCAGTGACCCATTTGATTCTGTTCACTTTAGGTCACTCTCTGGGGACTAGAACATACAGACTTATACCATCATTCACCAACAGGATAGGATCCTCATTCAAAACCAAAGGATCTGACGAGGCCCATCAGCTCTGACTCTCCCCCTGGCTTCCATTACTGCACAAGTGCTCAACCCTGAAACTTTTAAAACTCTCAACGCCCAGCCCAAACCCAGGCCAATCAAAACAGAATCTCAGAGGCAGGACCCAGAATCAGCAGTTTTCAAAGCTCCCCAGGTGATTAGCCAAGGTTGAAACGATTGCATTAGAGTAGTGGTTCTCAAATTTGAGTAGGCACCAGAGTCCCCTGGATGGCTCCTTAAAACCCACACTGTCAGGCTCTGGCCTGGAGATTCTGACTCAATAACATCCAAAATATGCCTGTCTACCAAGTTCTCAGGGGAGGACGATGTGGCTGGTCTGCGGACCACACTTTGAGAACCTCTGCAGTTGAGGGAGCTGAATACGAAGCAGAACTGAAACATCTTAATGAACACCTGCATCACAGTAGGCTCTTATACACACCAGACTTATGGCTAACTTGGCGTGGGGTGGAGGCATGGAGGCAAACATGCTTTGTCCAAAATCACAGCACTTGAGATGGGATGGAGTTAAACAGAAGACAAATACTGCTTTGGTTTTCCTCCATGCTTTATCCATGAGATAGAGGTTTGGAAAGGCCAGTAAAGAAAAGAAAGGAACAAAGGATAGCAACCCATTATCCCAAAGTAGTGAAGCATTTCCATGTGCTTCAGTGGCTCAAGAATGGAAAATCACAGCTTACATCAAAGAAGGTGCCTGCATGCTCCAGAATCAGCTGGTTGGAATCAGGCTTGTTTTTACAGTAGGTGACATACATCTGAAATTTATCTGCCTAAAAAGAACAAAGACAATAATAGATAAGTATACATTAGTGGCTCCCTTCTGCTGACCGTGCCTACAGGGTCCAGCAAGGGCTGTGCAGTTAAACGCTCAGACACGGTGTGCCACATGATTGCCTGTGGCAAGTGTTCTGGGCTGTCCAGTGCGTGCTGCCAGACAAACTTTGGGATGCTTTTCTCCTAACAGCATCAGAAAGCTTCCTGAAAGGAAGCAAGCTCATTTTAAAACTAGTCTGTGCTGGAAAGAATTAGCAAAACCAATTCACATATCATAATGTATTCTGAAGTTGGACAGAATTTATTTAGATGTTATTCCCTTGTTTGGATTACCTACTATTGCGCATCCCATCTTGAAAAGTGACAGCATTTGCTCTGAAGCAAAAATCAAGCAATGAAAATGAAGTATGATCTCAGAGCTAGGTCTGCTTATACTCCAAGTGTCTTCACTGGGGGCAGCTTGTAGGGTGTGTCAAGGGACTATGCCATCATCCCCAACCTCTCAGAAGCAATGATGGGGGGGCAGGAAAGCACAGGACCCTTTGGGGCAGGGTCTGAACAATGAGTGCTAACCAAATTGCTACTTTAAGTCACGAACCTTACAACTTGGTGAAAGTTCATTTCTCATTTCTCTCAGGACCCTCTGGTTGGTGCCACACACCCTTTCCACTGGGAAAGGTATGCGTAGTTTGTCCCCCAAGTACTTTTCCCATTTGTAAACCACTGCCCACCTTGGTGTCTATAGAACATCTGGGGTGTCCTTGTCTGAGAGAGCAGCCTAGATGTGCGCTATGTATGTGGCAGGCTTCATTTGTGCCAGCACTTTTCTAAGTGCTTTATGTGTATTAACCCATCGGATCCTCACAAGAACCCTGTGCAGTGAGCTCCATCATCATTATCCCCATTGCACAGATGTGAAAACTGTTAAACAGTGGCAGAATCCAGGGAAGCTGACTTCAGGCTTCTTCGTCGTAGTTTTCTACTATTTATTCCTGCACTACACTCATAGGTTGAGATTATAAGACTTAAAGTCATCTTGGGATAATTCTTGGCAAAATGTGCATCTTTTATGCAATCACCAAGATTTTTCTGAAACCAATTCCTGGATTTATGTCCTACCCGAGAGGCATTCAGCATCCCTAAGAGATGTTGCTAAATCATACTTATGGTCGATTGCAAGGCAAATCCACAAATTGTATGAAACAAGAAAATAAAAATCCCTTCACTTAATGGTTGATCTTTTTTCCTCTATACTAGAGAAATGTAAAGAATCATATGCTGTTGATCAGCATGAATGTGAAGTGTGCATGTACTCATGCATTTAGATATGGAAAATGTATCAGCACAAGGTAAGATAGCAGTCTGAGGCTTCCCTCAGACACGAGAGAATGCCAGGAAGCAAATGTGAATGTTTCATGAACAGAAAGAGACTCAGGTCTTGAACTGTGGAGCTGACTGGGATACATGTCATAGACTTGTCAGTCTCCCAGCTCATCTGAAACGTGTCCATCTATAACACAAAACATGACCTCAGCCCCACCTATTCCATGAGACTGCTGAGAGCACTAACTCCCGAATTGTGAAGACATTCTGAAAAGTAAGTTACCCATTTTGAGCAGAAGTTATAATTAGAAAATAATTATTAAATATTAGATCTCCTGCCCCGGGGGAAGAATTTCCATGTTGGGTTGCACCTAGCATTTTATGTGACCTTCAAAGGTCTGGAGACCTTTGCACTCATATCACAAACCTTGGCTCAGAATAATGTGATGTGGAGATGCTAATGGAGACTAATAATTCCATTTACATAATTAGAACCTGGTACATTCAGCCCATTTACTTGGCCCAGGACAATAGCACCTAGAAAGAAGATGACTAGACAGAATCTTATAGGTTAGAATTAGCATGGGCACCCAAAGAGTGTGTTCTCTATTAGGGAAGAACATGTAATCAATGGTTTGGTGGTCTGATGTATTCCCAAAGTTCTAATGCCTTAATCCTCATCCAGCTAAAAAAAAAAAAAAAAAAACCTAATCAAAAACAACAAAAATAGTGGATGGAGCCAGAGTGGTTCTCTGTCAAGAGTAGTGGTCTTGTTTCAATCTGCTGATACTTTGATTTTGGAAAGTGCGTAGAAAACTTAAGATGGCACTTGTACACAATGTCTTGAACTTTCCCCATGAGGGCACTGCTCCTCAGGGAGGGGCTGCCTCTCTCAGGTCCACTCCTTTCTACAGTCCCTGGTCTTATATGTTAGAATGTCAGTGACACCAATTCTCAGGTCAGGCACCGAAAAGTGATGCCATCTCATCTGCTCTCCTGGAAAGCACTGGGACTATGGGAGAAACAGGACTTTGGGTCGGTTACCCAGGTAACAAAGCAGTGTCCCACGTCCTCAGGCAGCTGCTCGTACTTCTCCAGCTCTTTGAGGAAGATGCTGCAAGGGAGAGAAAGGCTGAATCAGACATCTCTGTATGGCTCCCCTGCCCCTCAGAGGCCTGTGCTGAGGCCAGCACAGACTCTTGACGCTTCATTACTTACACATGGCCTCTACGCTCAGTGACAACGTGGTAAAGGGCAGTTTTAAATATGTGGGAACTAATGTCATTAAAATGTTTATTAATTGATTAATTAGTGCTACTTAAAATAATATAGTTTCCCTTAGGGGTTTACACTTCTCAGGCTAAAAATAATGAATTATTATACTTGTTTTGGGCCTTTTAATAGCAACTACAAACTGATTTTTAATATAAGTTATCTGAACACATTGTAACATTAAAAATATAAATATCAAAAAGAACAAATTAATATCATCCATAATCCCACGGAAAAAGTAGAAAAATATTTAATCCTACACAACCTTTTTCTAATTCTTGGCCTTCTTCCACCATAGACAGTTAGTGCTAAAAATTATGCATTGACGTTTCCTAATGTAGACATCACTAGAAAAAAGGAGTTTAATGGAGAAAAAGTTACAATACATTTCAAAGTTGAACTGAATTACTTTGGAATTATCTGCTGTTGCGGATATCTGTGCCATGGCTCCTTTCTGTGTTAGTGAGTAATAAAGAGTTGATTATACTGACTTCAAATAAATATATTAAACAATTTGTCTGAGCTCAGAAAATATGGGCTCTAATAAGCTGGCATCATTGGAGTGGAGTTAGCTTTTTAAAAACCACACAAATTTTTTCAAATAAATAATTACGAGGCTGTGGCATTACATACTGATGGAAATGAATGATGGTGTAATCTTTAAAAAGGACGACTTGACAATTTCTGTCAAGACTTTGCAATTTTCATCCTGAAAAATTAAAGTTGCATTCACACATACATGAGGTGGTGTACACACATGCGTACTCTCTGTGGCAGTGTTCATGACGGCGAAAGATGGCGTGTAGATGGCCGAATAAACTATGGTGTATCCACAGAACTGAATATTACATGGCTATAAAAAAAAGACAAAGCTTTCTACATTTTCATATGGAAGATCTCCAGGGCAGGATATTAAGTGAAAAGAGAAATATCTGGAAGAATGTACATAACATGCTGCCTTTTGTCTAAGGAGGAAATATATATTATTTTTTCCAACCCAAGAAACTAATGGTTAAAGGGTATAATTTCAGTTATTCAAGGAAAGTTCTGGATATCTAGTATATAGCATTATACCTGTAGTTAACAATACTATATTGTATACTAAAATTTGCTAAGATATAGATATTATGTTAAATGTTCTTGCCTAATAATAATAATAGGAGAAAGCTTTGGGAGGTGACAGAATTGCCCATTGCCTTGATGGTAGTAATGATTTCATGGGTGCACACTTACCCCCAACTCATCAAGCTGTATATGTTAAATGTGTACAGCTTTCTACATGTCAATCATACTTCAATAAAATAGTTTAAAGAAAAAAAACTTTTTAATACAGGAAATCAGGTGAAGGAACAGGGAGAGATACTGGTGGGTAGGACTTCTCAATATATACTTTATATTTAATTTTGATTTTAAAAATTAAATGAAGTGATATAAAGCAGTTCTGAATTATTTTACAAGTTAGCCTCTATCATTGGAAAAATTAATTTTATTGATTTGATTTATTCTACCTGGCTCCTACTTTCCAAGCATTCTGGCAGTCTCTCACAAGTACAATTGGCTATGGGTTCTGTGTGTGTGTGTGTCACTGTGTTCTCTTTCCGATGACACAGAAAAATGTTTGTTTTGGTTTAAAAAATATGTATGTGTGATTTAAAAATATTTGGCAAGTCATATTTGGAAAGCCAAAATATTAATAATGATTGGTGGGATCACAGATGATATTTTTATCTATCTGCAATTTAAATATTTTATAACAAATTGGTATTTAGTAATGACAAAACTCACACAAAAATTTTGGGGACTCCTAGCAGTACCCATTTGATAATAATCATCTTTCCCCTAGAGTATCCTGATCTGAATCATGGAATAGGTTATAATGCAATCTGAGCTTTTGAAATGCAAATATGCAGAGCTCAAAAATCAATAATCTTGGAAAATTAAAAAAAATCATATTTACTACCACTTTAAGAAAAACTGTAGGGGACACACATGTATGTAATACAACTTCCAAAATATAAACAGGAAAAATGTAATTGAGGATGAAAACTTTTTCAACACTAAAAGGGAAAAATCCTTTTTGTTGCAAAGAGAAGAAATCTGCCCCATTACTGTATATATAATATGTTAATTCTGGAAAATTTCCATAACAATGTGTTACCATACTAGGATAATATTAATCTATTTTAATAAGTATTTTTATACCTGAAACTGAATTCTAAAAGACTTTCATTACGTGGCTCTTTTCCATGAGGAACACTACATAACATAACGTATAATAGCTTCACAGTTGTTCGGAAGGTGTTGAGAGCTTCTTTACACGGTCATTTCTCACACTGGCCTTCAATATTAACCTCAGGGAAGACAATGAATGGAAACCCAGCTCTGAGCTATGATGGACTGAACAGGGCCTGGGGGTGGGGTCGGGGGGGTTGTAATGACTTGGCAAGTGGGGACAGAAAATCTGAGGAACTATTTTAGGACAAGGAGTGGTGACAGAAAATGAACTGCTTTAGACAAAGGAGAACATGGGAGGACAGGAGACCTTGGATGAAGAGAGTAAGAGGGGAAAGGGGAGAATCTGGAGGCCCTGGGCTTTAGGATAAATGCTTTTGAGAGGCCTCCACTTCCTCACCTTCAGGATCTCACTCCAGCCCCCTAAACTCTGATTTTCACGGTATGTACGCCATTCTCCTGCAAGAGTGAGCAACTAAGTGGTAAAACAACCTGCGTCATGGCATTCCACACAGAATATAAAATTATATTTTTGTGGCATTTTTATTTTTTATAATATTTAAATTTTTTTGTAAGTCACAGATGTACATGATAAAAGAACAAACCATTTGTCTTCCTGGCCCCTCCTTGGAAGCAACTGTAGTTACCAACTTAAGGTGTAATCTATGAATTGAATGTATTTTTTTGGCTCTTGTTTTGTTGTTGTTTTTTTCCCTATTTTTAAAAAACTTATTTGAGTGACACTGGTTAATATGGTTATATAAGTTTCAAGTACACAATTCTATATAATACATCATTTGTATATATTTTTGTTTTAGAAGTTGCAAGGATACCCATAACAAACTTGGAAAATTTTCCTCTTTCCTTGACTTATGACCCATGGTCAATTTGCTGGTCACTGAGGTTAATTTTAAACAAACAGTGGTAACTGTAACCACAGATTGATAATTGATCTAGATGCTGAAAACAGTGCTAGAAAGTTTATTGAAAATACTGGAAATTTAAATAGAGCAATACCCTGGCTTTTTGTGACAGCAGCTATCAAAAACCTATGGGAGAATGCTCAGTTTGAAAATCCTCAAAAATGAAAGCACTATAAAATGAATTAAATGCATAGAATATTACTTCTACAATTAATGCCTTTCTGGAAAATGTGAGTTTTAACAGCAACTGCCACTAGTCCACCCTCCTACTGACTTCATGTCTCACTTTCCTTTTTCTGAAACCAAGCATGAGTTAAAGAGCCAGACTTCAGTTAGTCACAGTTGTGAGGGGGGTCTTTCAAAGCTTCATTTTCTTGTCTTTAAGTAATTCCCTTGTGGAGTTGTTGTGAGAGTTTAATAAATCCACACAGTTAAAAAACCACCCCAGTGCCTGGTATACAGTAGACACTAAATAAACATCAGTTCTTCAGGATCAGTGCTTCTCAATCTTAATGAAACCATACTCTGACAAACATACGTATCTCACACTCTCCCCCATTCACAGAGACAAAGTTCAGGAGCTCCCTTTACTAAGCCCCTGTTAAAAACATGCAGCCCATGGTCTGCATGCGGCCCAGAATGGCTATGAATGCTGCCTAACCCAAAATTGTAAATTTACTTAACACCTTTTTTTGCTCATCAGTTTTCATTAGTGCTTCTGTATTTAATGTGTAGCCCAAGACAACTCTTCTGCTTCCAGTGTGGACCAGAGATGCCAAAAGGTTGGACACCCCTGCAACCATATCCTAGGAAAATCTTGATCCAGTATTAGTACAAAAATTAGATTCCAAAGCAACATATCATTTAAATTTTGGAAATCCTGGGGTAAGCTGGCTTCTTTACTGCAGGACTTCCAAAATCCTATACTATTGGGTTGGCCAAAAACTTCAAAGGGTTTTTTCTGTAAGATGGGTCTAGTAGCACTTAGTTGTCATTAACTTTATTCAAAACAGTTTTGTTAGATTGTATTGTGGCAGCTGTCATATCAATGTGCATTTAAAAAAATAAAAATTCAAGAATTTTTGTATATCCATTTTAATATTGGAGATGAGAAATACACAACATTTTTGGCATACTTGTATTATGCTTTACTATTTTAAGAAAGGTAAAAAAAGATGTATGCAGTGCATGGAGAAGGTGCTGTGACTGACTGACTGAATGTGTCAAAAGTTATTTGCAAAGTTTTGTGCTGGAGATTTCTCACTGGATGATGCTCCACGGTTGGGTGGACCAGTTGAAGTTGATAGTGATCAAATGAAGACATAATTGAGAACAATCAACATCATACCATGCAGGAGATAGCCAACATACTTAAAATATCCAAATCAATAAAGTTATTGGTGAAAATAAAAAATGTGGCTTTAATTTTACAGAAAAATCCATATGGACTTTTTGGCCAACCCAATACTATCAGGTACACTATAAATCTCTGAAGTGATGTAGTGTGCAGTGCTTCCCAAACTAATTTGAGAGTGGAACATTTTTGGAGGGAGTATCAGACATTTACTCACAGAACACTCTTGGAAAACTCTAGTTACTGATCCCCACACCTGGCTGTGTACTGCCACCCGGGGACAGGATCTGAGTACCAGAACTGTTTAGAAAAGCTCCCTGGGTAATTCTGATG